CTGATTTAGCTTGAAAATAATTGTTTGCTGTCCAAGCTTGCAGATATAGTACTGTAGCGTTAAATTAATATCATAGCCTACATTTTGATACTGGACACTTGATTACTGGATTATGAATGATTGAAACTCTTCAGCATTTGGGGTGGAATCTGTCAACTGAAAGCTCCAGGAATCTCTGGATCCAGAGGAATCTCTATCATCTCTGGATGAGTCAATGAGGCAAGTTAAGACCCAGTTATCCTCGATCAGTGTTATCAAAGAAGAAGTTGGGGAGATAAAATCAAGCCAAGTCTTTATTGCAAAAAAATTTGATGAATTGAGTGCCAATTACAATGAACTCAATACCATTACAGCCAAAAACAACAAAATAATTCGCCAACTGGAAAGAATTGTAGAAGATCTCGAAGAGGAGGTTGATATTCTTACAGAACGACAAAACGACCAAGAGCGAAGGTCAAGACTCAATAACTTAGAGTTCCATAATATACCATACACAGAAAAAGAAGATTGTGAAAACAAAATCATGAAAATAGCAGCTCGACTCAATATATCGCTACAACCTTTAGACATCTCAAATTGCCACCGAATGTCGAAAGCTAACACTAAAAAACCTTCACCAATAATTGTCCAATTTGTAAATAGGAAAACCAGGTATCAAATATTGAAAAACCGTCGCCATCTTAAATCAGCAAACTTTCATGAAGATTTTCCACAATTCTCAAGATCCACCACAATTTTCGTTGTCGAAAACCTCAGCGACTACAACAAGGACCTATTCTTCAAGGCGAAAGATCTGAAAAATAAGTGCGGATACAAATATCTATGGACGCACAATGGAAAGGTACTAATAAGAAAGAACACAATGACTGCTACCATCCATATTGAGAGTGATGCTGACCTTTCAATAATCAAGTAGGTCACTTAAACATAATTTGTACACTTTACAATGTACTCTTGGAAAAATTTATGTTTTCCTAAATATGGCTACTTGTCTTATACCACATTGCAATTATCTTTTGTCATCTTAAATGGCCAATTCTAGTAACTCTCAATTAGTTTTTTCCAGTGATGTCACAATGTGCAGTAATATAGAAGTTCATAATTTAAAGTCTATCCAATCTTTATCTGACTTAATAATTTTCCATGTAAATATTCGATCACTACAAAAAAATATTGATGACTTGATAACTCTTTTAAACAATTTTCCATCTCCTCCCCATATAGAAGCAATAAGCGAGTCAAAATTATCAAGTGACAATGTTTCTAATATTAATATGGATGGGTATAGTTTCATACACATGCCTTCTACCACCAAAGCCGGTGGTGCTGGTGCTTTTATCCGTGATGACCTTACCTATAATGAAATTTCAATTTATAATCTTAATTACCCGAACTGTGAGAATGTATGGTTCGAAATCACTTTGGCCAGTACTGACAATAAATTAATCGTTGGTGTGATATATAGACACCCTCGAAATGATGTTCCTCATTTTACTGACATGTTGGAAACTTCTCTCGCTAAATTGGCAAACAAACAATTTTTGATAATTGGAGATTTTAACATCAACTTACTTTTAACACCTAGTAACGCTCATATTGCAAATTATGCCAATATGCTCATTTCACACAATGCCACATCCCTAATCACTGACCCAACTAGAGTTAGCCGTACATCAGCAACTCTCATTGATCATGTATATACAAATATCAGAAACCTAAAAATAGATTCCCACATAGTTCTGTCAGACATCACAGACCATTTTCCGATCATGTGCTGTCTGAGAGGCATCAAACCATCATACACATACAATCGCAGAATGTCAAGGGACATGTCAACATTCTCAATCGATTGCTTTCGTAGTGATGCAGAGGTAATTTATGCCAATCAATTTGCTGGAATTAATTTAAATATCCAAAATTTGAATAGTGTTTTTGACGACTTTATAAAGTCATTTGTTCACCTAATTGATCGCCATGCCCCACTTCGACCACTTTCTCGGCGTCAGAAAAGGTTACAATCAAAACCATGGTTAACCAAAGGGCTAAACGCTTGTATTCGACACAAAAATAAAATGTTTAAAACTCACTTCTTGAAAGGTAACAGTTCCCAGAGCTCTTACTTTAAACAATATAGAAATATTTTGTTAAGAACCATAGATAAAGCTAAACAAATCTATTATCAAAATCTTATTGCTACAACCAAAGGTAATCCCAGGTCAACATGGCAAATAGTTGGCCAAATCACAAATGCAAAAAAGAAATTGAAGCATAAAATTGATGAAATTAATACTGAAAACGGTTGTATAACTAGAGATGAACTTTTAATCGCAACAGAATTTAACAAATACTTCTCAACAATTGGGTCCAGCCTGGCTGATAAGTTTTCCAATGATACAGCTAACTTTGAACCTTTTCTGCGCAATCGTGTGAGCCAATCCATCTTTTTGAGCTCATCCACCGCGAATGAAATTTTAATCGAAATACAAAATCTTAACGACAGGAAGGCTGTAGGACCAGACAACATCCCAGCGCGCTTCATCAAATAAGTTGCAGATATAATTGCCCCTTGTCTCTCAAGATTCTTCAATTCCTCGCTGTTACTTGGAATCTTTCCTTCATCTCTCAAAACCGCCCGGGTTATTCCTCTTTTCAAATCTGGAAATAAAAAATTAATTTCAAATTATAGACCAATATCAATCCTCTCAGCAATTGATAAAATGTTTGAGCGTTTGTTACATAAAAGACTCGCAAATTTTTTAACTAAATATGGTGTAATAAATAAATATCAATTCGGTTTTCAGAGCAATTATTCTACATCACATGCCATTTTAGATACAGTATCATATATCTATGATAAATTGGAAAGAAAGGAGTATGTCAGTGCAACTTTTCTAGATCTAAAGAAAGCTTTCGATACTGTGAATCATGACATCCTGATTTCTAAGTTGAGGCATTATGGTATACGGGGAATTGCAAGCAAACTCATTTCTAGTTATTTGAATAATAGATCTCAATATGTTCAAGTGGGATCATACTGTTCTTCTCCCTTACCGGTGACGCACGGAGTTCCTCAAGGTAGCTGTTTGGGCCCTCTCCTTTTTCTCGTATATATTAACGACATAACTTATTGCTCTTCATTATTTTCCAAATTGTTCGCTGACGATACTAATCTCCTTGACAGCGACAAATCTTGTGCAGTTCTTCAGTTGAGAGTAAATACTGAAATTGCAAAAGTGTCAAGTTGGATGAAAGCCAATAAATTAACACTAAACATTGAAAAATCAAAATCTATGTTAATATCTCCATACCAATGCAAATCGAAAAATGTTTTGGAAATCCAAATTGATAATAAAAAATTGGAAAATGTCCATTCCTTTAAATATCTTGGTATAAACATTGATAGTAAAATGAAGTGGGATATTCACTTGTCCAACCTGGCCGTTAAATTATCCAAGTCTGTTGGAATACTATACAAGCTTAGAAGATACACATCGCTTACCACCTTACGCATGATTTACTATTCCTTATTTCAAAGCCATATCCAGTATGGCATACGGTAATTGCTTGGGGTTCAGCTGATAAAACCTTATTACACCGCATTGAAATTATTCAGAACCGAGCAATTCGTGCAATTTCTGCTGCCAGTTATATTTCACGACTTAGTCCTATTTATCATAGTCTTAAAATTATTAAATTAGCAGATATTTATGAAATTGAGGTATTGAAAATAAGGCACCAACATCACTGCAAAAAACTCCCTTCTGCTTTCACCAACTATTTTTTAAAACAGAGCAACGTTCACTCTTATGAAACGCGTTCCTCTGTCGGGTGCTCATATTATGTAAATCGCTTCAGCACCAAACGAACTCAAAACTCGATCAAATTCGTTGGTGTTAAATTGTGGAATAACCCCCCTAATAACATTCGATCCAGTAGTTATAATTCTTACAAACATGCACTGAAAAGCCTATATCTTGATGCCTATAGGCCTAGTTGTCATTGATCTGAAAACATTACCTTCTGTTGTTTTCTATATCCATCCATCTTTTTGAAACTTGCCATTTTCTTCTGTCTGCATATTGTGTCCTGGTATTTCCTTACTATTTTCAGCCCAGTGTAATCGACACGAAGTATGCAGATCTCATAATTCATTCTGCACTAATCTGTAGAGCCAATAATTTACTAGCAATCGTATTAACAGAAAATAGCCACAAATTCAACCCTAGCAGCAAACTCCCTTTGCTGGGTACGCCATCTTGGTGTAGACTGAACGCTGAGTCATAACGCTATTTCGCTGTGCTCCGTACTCAACGAGGCATAACCATTTTATAGATGTCGCTGTTGCGTCCGTCATGACATTCCGTGGTGTATTCTCGATTTGTTGATGTTTTTTGTCTGTCTTGTGTTTTATGTAAAAGTAATCTTTTTTTATTCCAAAGTCATTGTGGCATTCCGTGGTCTATTTCGCATGTTTTGCCGCTCTTTTTCTTGTATGATTATAGCCTATTTCATGTTTGTTAATCATTCCACAGGGATTGTGGCATCTCGTAGTTACTCAGGTTTTTTTTGTTGTTTTTCATTTTTCGAATGATTGTGTCCAATTAAGCCAATGTGTAATATTGAGTTCTATTTATTTTTTTGTCTTTTTGTATGATCGTGTTAATTTATTAAGTTAATGTGTAATATTGAGTGTCCCGTTTCTTATATTTGCTGCTTAATTTCAGCTACAAGGTGTCGCTGACTAGATGACTCTATGAGTCTTTTCGCGACTCCGCGTCAACTGCAACAAGCCGATATCCATTTGACATTTTGTTACATTATATTATTTATTCATTTTTCATATCGCGCATTGTTTTTTGCATGACGAAAAATAAATATCTGAATCTGAATCTGAATCATTCCAGAAATACGCAACTGGAAATCATCTGTTGCTGGGACAACTCAAACAGTTCTAGATACGCTTTATTTTTATTATGCAACTTACATTGCCTATTGTCATAAAAATATACTATATTCCATGCATTGAACATTTTATGAAAAAAACATTATATTGTTTAATTACTGCTAAAGTAATAAAAATAAAACTGGAATCACATCTAAACGCACTACCTTGCAAAATAAAGTGAAAAGAGATCATGCTCTTCATCTACATTTATTTTTTAAGCAGTTTTCGTAGGGATAAATTATGGTCATTTTTCAAGAGGGCGTTATTGACGATTCTGGCTGTTTGATGGCAGCATATTTTCAGGTAGAAGCGACATAAGTTTTCCAAAATGTCCAGCATGCTAGTATCGTTTTGGGCGATACCAAATGATTCTATATTGAAATTTTTAAAATCTGTGGCTATAACACCTTCATGATAGTTTAATCTAAATTCAATTTTTAGCAGCTTACATAGTTCAAGGACACTGGTACGGTAAAGCGTCCATATTCTGTTTCCTGCATTATTGCAATCATAGAGTCAGTTATCAAACAGTCCGGTTCGGGATTCTTTTGCAGTCTTCCGGGTCTTGGCATCGTTTTGGCATTTTTTGTAAAATGAACCCAGCAATGTATTGGATTAAATGGACCTCATCGTCATTCAATATGATAGAACTTGAATCTAGTAAATCTGGAAAATATAGGAAACAGGGGTGTAATATTAAGATGTCGCATTATTGATTACCATGAATGTCAATCAAACGGTGTCGAAATTAAAGTTGATCAAGCGCCCGTTAAGCTGGTGCGCACAATGTATGAATCAGGTATGAATAAAAACCCAATTAAGCAATTTTTGCCAGTAAGTCATATGATCCGTCAAATTATGGCATTTAAACATACTCAAATCCAGACAATTATTAAGCACAGCACCTTTCGTTTTATCCATTTCTTTGGCTGTGAATCAATCAATTAATTTACCGACAGACTGGAGGGTATAGTAAACCTGGAATACTCTGTTCCAGTGTAGGGATTACGCGAACTGCATCACAGCAGAAGGATAACATTTGATCACTTGGGACTTTTCTTCAGCAACAATTCTAAGTATTTGACCACATTTGGTGAAATAGGGACAGTGGCTGCAATGATCTTTCACTACAATTTTCTCCACGCTAATATCTCTGCCTAAAAATGAAAAAATTCAAAATTGTTTTGACAGATTCATCCCATGGTGTTTAAAAAAAATCTCTTAAAAAAATCTGCTCTTCATGTTTATCTTGAATGGAAGAAGTTGTATTAGTAATCATGGAATTTAGGTAGGAGTCTACAATTATGTAAATATTACCTTGTTTGTGAATATGTTGAGTCAAAAGTGCCGTGATGGAAAATAACTTTTGACACGTTGAGCACCTTGAAATAAAACATAAGTTATTTTTTATAAATCACAGAGTAAGTTGTTTATTGGCAAAAATATTGTCATGAAAATATCACATTTATGTGATATATTAGTATGTGATATCTATAGAATAAAATCCAGAAAATATATTGATGAAAAGATAGGCCTAATTGAATGCATGATCTGTTGGTGGTCCTGCATTAAACCTCTCCTAACACTTTTTGCCCTCTGTAGCTCTCTTTTTAATAGCTGTCTTACTTTTGCTCATTCAAGGTAAACTTTTCTTCCATTGCCTTGCCTCGTCAAGATCTATGAATACTGTCAGTTTATGATCCTTTAACATGAATGAGTCTAGTACAGTACAGACAGACAGGTAATGTCTGATTGTATCCTCAAATTCAGGATCTGATTCAGGGATTTAAACTCGGCAGCTCTGTCTGTCATACATCAACACATGGTAGTTCCCTGAATAGTCACCCGCTAAGGGAAACACACTTATAACATATATCTAACGTATAGAAATGATAGACTTACGTTTGTTAGCCATAGCCATCGATTATATAATAACTACAGCCCGTGAGTGAGTCCGATGCGACCAACAGATATGGTGAAACCGCAGCAAAACGCTGGTAACTCGAGTGGGCGTTAACGAATCAAGTCGTTGATTCAGGTAACCAATCAATGTCGGGTATGGGCTAAGTCACCCAGTTATTTGTTTCAGATGCATGGAATCGATGGTGGATGATGACGTAACCGACCAACAGTTACGAAACGAATATTAATCATTGATAATCGATACAGCGTTTTCTTAAGTTATGGTATATCACACGTGACTTGGCGCAGAAGCTTTCTTTGTTATGGTGTTTTTCAAGTTAGGCATCATTATCAGAAATTCTCCTTGGAAAGTAGAAAAGTTTAGCACGCCCCTGAATATAAACCTCGTGCACCTTTACGTGAGAGAAATCAATGCCATAAACGTACAAACTATGAATTTCTATGTTGTAGGAAAAATTACGCGGAGATGAAGATTTTACATAGCTGCATCAGGGCATATGCTGCAAAAAAACAGACGCAAATAGAGATGAGAAATAGGATGGGCAATGATTATCTGTCCTTCTGTTGCCTTCAGAATATTAATTATTATTTTGTTGTTGCGTTTAACATTTTTCGGCTCGGCCGCTCTCGACGCCTCTGCCGGCGACGCAGCACTCTCTCGCCCGCCGCCGAAGTCTCACTCGAATTGTTCGTTAGCGCTAGATTTCGCCCCTACGAACCTTTCCTTGGGTTAGGTTAGTTGCCTTGCCCATGCGGCCTCGGTTAGGTTAGTTTGTACTTTAATTGAGCTAATGGCCCAGAGAAAAAAATTCAAGAGAGCATTCAACTTACGAGCATGTTTTTACTTATCGATCTTAAGATCGGTAAGTATATTGATAGGTATTTGTCTGTATGTATGTCTGTCTGTCTGTTAGATGACCGTCCTATTTCGCGAATGCGAGGTTGAATCTGCTCCAAATTTTGCATGTGCATTCATCTTATCTCGGACCAGAAACCTATTGATTCTGGGCGAATTATGTGGTATAATTAGCGAGTTATCAATCAATTATTGATATAGCGATCTAGATTTTTGTAAAGCGAGAGAATTTTGAGACCCGCCGAGTGTGTGTGTGCGATGCGCAGTGCGCAAGTTACAAGAGCGGATGAATCGAAACTGCAGTTTCTGTTTTGGGGGATCCCCTAACTATCGATCGATAAGTCTTCGGTTTCCAACCTATATTCTCGTTTGATACGTTGTTTCATCACGAACGGAATCCCCATTTTGAATATTAGGATACGGACCACATTCCACGGCTAAAGATTTAATTAAATAAAGTTGACACGATATATACGAATACAATATGTGTAATTACCTTTATTGTGTAAAATTGGATACTTACGTAGACACGACGATGGCATATTCCCAGACCAATTTTTGTCGAACTGACAAGTCATTGTCAATCCTGGCACATCAGGCTCATATCCGGTTGGGCAAATAAAACTGCAAGAATAATATTGACAATTAAATTATTTGAGCATAGACTGCAATGATAAATATCGTCACGCTAATAACCGAATTGCGTAAGTCATTTTTAGCAGTTTTGAGAAAAACGTAAAAAACTTCCTAATGATATTGTTATGCCATTGAGAGTCAATAATTTGCCAAGGTTAAATTTTTTGATCGTAGCCGGATTTAGGTTAATTTGTAAGACGCAGTTAAGTGACGTCATAATGGCGCACTGTGACTTAGGTAGAAATGTGTCTATGACTTGGGACATACGCAATTTTGCAAGTTTACTATGTGCACCAGACCTGAAAACTAAACATTCCAAAAACGAATGTAATTCTCAGTATCTACAATGTCTAATTCCCAAAATAGATAATCAGTCTCAATTACATTATTTTTTATGTTTAAAAATATATATTTCATCAATATAACACGTTCTGCACACCCACCGAAATGAGACTAAGATGAAATATAAAAAATAAAACAGCAATGCACCCAATATAAAAGCCAACCAAGGTGAAATGGACTCGGACATTGAATATCACAAGTGCAGGTCTTCCTATACTGTAGTATAAATACAAATTAATACGCGCTAAGCTAGAATCCGAGATGCCAAAACTCGAAAATACTTCGCCGGGGTTATTTTGCCTTTGTGACGTCACAATAGTCCTGCGGTAACAATGATAATTCATTATGACGAAACAATTGCACAAATGTGCATGTCATACTAAATCGCCATTTTTATGGTTTCGGAATTCTTAAAATAAAATCTGAGTTAACAGACAGGTGCGCAGCATTACATAAATACCTATTTTATAAAAAACTCAAAATCGCCAAAAATGACTTACGCAATTCGGTTATTAGCGTGACGATATTTAAACTGATTCGCAGATTTTGTTTTGGCATATAGAGGACTTGCACGGGTCACGTGACTTTGTTTACTGGACGGCAAAAAAACAAAAACGTCCATTTGGCTCCTGTCAGTTGCAAGTCGGATTATAGTTTCCGTTTTGTTTGGCTGTTGGAAATGGTTATTTCGTATTGTTCCGTTGGCTGTACGTATAGTATATATAGACAAATGGTTATTTTTTGCATGACCACTGGTGTTAAACTTTATTTACCTATTCAACCTTTCACACTTAGTAATAGATTGCCTGCTAACTAGGGAAACAATACCTTATGGCAAATGATGATTAATTAATTCCTTACGCAAGTCAAGTCAGCAAGTAGCCTAGTCCTACCAATAACAGTAGTTTGTCATCTGCTTTCATTGAAATGAGGGAGCTTATGAATATTTAAAGAAATTGATAACGGCACATTATCACTCACCATCAACGAAGTGCTGTCCACAAACAGTGAACACAAGCGAGATGACTTCTGGACTTGACACCAAGCAATAGATCCTGCTGTCCTGCCAATAGATGATATCCACATTACGTGACGTTCTTTTGAAAACAGTGGAATATAACTGTAGATCCATTACGTTGTCTATACTATACGTACAGCCAACGGAACAATACGAAATGACCATTTTCAACAGCCAAACAAAACAAAAACGTATAATCCGACTTGCAACTGACAGGAGCCAAATGGACGTTTTTGTTTTTTTTGCCGTCCAGTATACAAAGTCACGTGACCCGTGCAAGTCCTCTATACACACCAAAAGGGCAAATTATGTAAACATATCAAAATCTTACCTGCATTTAATGCAAATTAATGTCTTGGTCTTGCGTCGGATTAGAACTTGTGAACTGTTTCTAATGTTTAAATTTCGTGAATTACTACGAAATGGTATATATTGAATAATTTATTTGTCTGTTGCCATTCATGTAGACCAGGGGTCACCAAACTACGGCCCGCGGGCCGGTTACGGGTCGCGTCGTCATTTTATCCGACCCGCAATAACACGCAAAAATGGCCAAATATTTTTCCAAGAAAAGTTATCCCCGAGCATGGTCTTCCCTGTTTATTTCATAACTTTGGCCAAATCAGCAAGATGCAAAAAAGTGACGTAATAATGGGCCTTTTCGCATCCGCTCAGAAACCTTCGTCACCCTGTCCCTGACAGATTTTCAGTCGTGGTTGTAAACAATACTTCGTTTTTTGCGATTTTGAATGCTACTCGTTAGTTTCTGGTTGTGTTTGGGAAATTTAAGTATGAATCAAATAAGAGAATCATCATTTGCCTCTTTAGGAGTTGTAGTTTTAATAATGGTAATAAAAAATTAGTCTAGAAATAGCTGTGACAAAATAGGCTAAAATTCTCTACCGGGAGGCAACGTTTTCTGCGAAAGATGCACTCGTGGCGCGTTCATTCGACAAAATTGTTTACGTCTTTGTGCTAAAATGAACGTCGAATGTGAATTTTGCGCTAACAGTACTGTAATCCCTCGCGTACTGCTCCAAAGTCACACTAATTTTTGTACTGCTTAAATGCGGATGTTCATGTAGGTAAGTTACAAAAAAAATAAAGTTTATTCGATTTGAATAAAACTGCGCTAGTGGATAGATCTGAGTGAAAATAAGAAAACAATACCCAGTTTATATAAAACGGTCAAGAAATAACGGAGATATCGGAATTTTAGTACCGCCCGACAGGCCAATTTTTTCCATAAGGATTGTATAACTTTTCTGAAAAGACTGTAATAAACATGAAAAAAAACACATATCAATCACTAATTTTTCGATCTGCGTCACATCTATGGTATATTGAGACTATTTCAGAATTCTATTCTGGCAACGGTCATTGACACCGCCGAAAGATCGTCGCAAATAAACGCTGGAGTTGTGCATGTTAGTTTGACAGTGGTTCATTGTGGGTTTAACGATGTTCTGATTGTACAAACTTCATAAAAATTGGTAAGTATCAAGTTAGTAAAGAAATACACACGTCCACATAAATTTCATTGGTGTCCATAGACAATATCATCAATTTGCACCACGTATAACTTGGGGATAATTTTAAAACCTCCGAATGTTGGGAATTTATGCGCTAATGAATAAAAATCAAATACCAGATAATAGTTGTTTATTTCATCTAAATTATGCTAAAATTTCATGAAATTCCATGCTACAGCAGGCAGTCAGTAGTCGTTTGTATGAGCCGTATTCCGACACGGCGTGAAGGTACTTAGCAGACGTGATGCGTACATTTTTTGGCGCGAAAAAGCGGATTTTGTAACATTCCTAATTCACGACTGCAACGTTTTGATAACAGCTAAACTTGGGATTGTCGTCTATAAATAGAAATCTTGTATATTTGTTTTCCTAGGATGTTATCGATCTATATCCTGCTATATATATAGAATTTAATATTCAAGTCTTCAGAAATGTGGAATATATATTGTTGAATAAATTTCCCAACTTTTGTGAATTTATTGTATTGCATTGACAAAATTATTCATCCGGCCCGTTTCAACACAGTTTGAGTCATACCCGGCCCGCGGTCAAAAAAGTTTGGTGACCCCTGATGTAGACGGACGAATGAGTTTAACAATATTTTTTCAGAACTTTTTATGTTGACTAATGGATAAATTAGGTCATACTTTTGCACGATTGTCCACCGGTTCCTGACCAGTGTCCATTTTCTTGACAAGTTCGCTCCTCCT